TAAAAAAAAAAATAAATAAAGAGTCCAAATTGTCATGGGCATCAGTCTTTCCCAAAACAGCCATGTTCAATCCACCTTTTAATTTTATCTTTATATTTCTAGTTTGACTTTTTGCTCTAGGAAATACTTTGCTCAATAAAGAAATTCAGAAAGCATTCAATAAAAGCTCTTATTCAATTAGTGGTCTGTGCCAATAATTTAACTTGTCATTGAATTTAAACGATGGTTCTAGACATCTGTAAGCTCAATATATTTAAGTGTCCAAAATCGTCACAAGTTTCTTCAACAAAAACGAAAAACACCAAACACATTGTCTTCACATGGATTCCAACTCTAGGCAACCCCGTGTATTACTGAATAGCACTGCTCCATAGGGTTTCTTAGCTGCGATTTTTACAGAAGGAGTTTTCCAGGCCTTTCTTTCTTGGTCTCACTGGGTAGGTTTGACCCACCAAGTTCTTAGACTAGCAGAGAGGCTGTTGTTGTTGTTGTTGTTATGTGCCGTCGAGTCGGACCCAACTCACAGCGACCCCTCCTTGGGTTTCCGAGGCAGTATCACTACAGAAGTAGATTGCCCAACCTTCCTTCTGAGGAGTGGCTAGTGGGTTTAAACCGCCAGCCTTCTGGTGAGCAGTCAAGTCCTTAGGCACTATGCTACCAGAGCTCCTAGCAGAGAAGCTAAGAATCCTTAAAAAACATGTTTACTTATGTTATTTCTTCAAATAATGCTTAGCCACTGCTCATTATTCCAGGGATGACTGCCCCAGTTTATAAATTATCCATGACATAGCTCTTTCATCTGGCCTTTTGGCTCTTTTACATTTTTATTAAGAATTTCACAATTGAAAGAAAAAGGACATAATTCAAGTCTAATAATTTTGTTACCATTTAGCAGCTTGGTGAGAGACTAGGAAAACAAACAAACTAAAATGAGGTTTGAAGGCTATCTATGATTTGATTTACTCATCTGCTTCATGTTATAATGAATTATTCAGACTTGCCTTTATTAATCATAATTGCAATAACAGCTGCAGGAGACAATAGCAGTTAAGTGGCTCTGGAATATGACTGTTAGGTATTAAATCCCAGCTCAGCCACAAGGTTTTGGGCAATTTACTGAATTTCCTTGTGCCTTGGTTTCCTCTTCTTGACATTAGATGAATAATATATGTAGAGTATTTATTACAAAGTCTGGTCATAGTAATAACTCAATAATACCAAACCAAACTCACTGCCATCGAGTTGATTCTGACTCATAGCAACCTTTTAAGACAGAGTAGAGCTGCCCCATAGGGTTTCCAAAACTGTACATCTTTACCAGCACACTGGCTCATCTTTCTTCCATTGAGGCGCTGGTGGGTTCAAACCACTGACCTTTCTGTTCACAGGTAAACACATAACCACTGTGCCACCAGAGTTCCTTTAACAAAAATAACAAAAACAAACTCACTGCTGTAGAGTCGGACCCGACTCATAGCGACCCCTCCTTGGGTTTCTGAGGCAGTATGACTACAGACGTAGATTGCCCAACCTTCCTTCCAAGGAGTGGCTGGTGGGTTTGAACCGCCAGCATTCTGATTAGCAGTCCAGTGCCTTAGGCACTATGCTACCAGAGCTCCTAGACCTCAATAATGGCAGCTCTGCTGGCGCAGTGCCTAAGGCATTTGACTCCTAACAAGAAGGCTGGCAGTTCAAACCCACCAACCACACCTTGGAAGGAAGGTTGGGCAAGCTACGTCTGTAGAGATACTGCCTCGGAAGCGAGCTTGGGTTTTTTTTTTTTTTGGTTTATTGTTAAACATCAGTGGTTCAGTAACTTGCCCAAAGTCATGCAGCTAGTTACTAAAAAAGAAAAAACTGAGTTGTTTTTGTTTTTTCAAAGTGAGCAGTGAACTCCAAATTGTATAATCTTAACCAATGTTGTATATATGGCAAATTCTTCAGGCTTCGGGAACAATTATCAGGTTCTGTATTTATTATAATTAATGAAAGCAAATTATTTCTTGTTTGAGAAATGAACTCTCAAGTAGCTCAACTCAATATTAATGTCATAAAATTCACCAGAGAAGCATATTCCTATCAGTTCCAAGCCATCCTTAGTCAATTTTCATAAAAAAAAAATTTCTTGACTTTTACAATCAAAGTCAGATTGCACTAGATATGCACATGTATGTACAGAATAATAACTCTATTCTTTTCCTTGTTAAGCTTCTACCAAGAACCCTCGGAACAACAGGAAAAGATAGACTTTCTGTTAAGAACTATAATTAATTGTGTTTGCAGTTCCTGGACTTCCCTTTAACCATCATCACTATAAACTGTTGTATAACAAAGAAAACTGAGAATTAGATATGCATCTAAATTGTTAAATACTGAATATTCTAAAGAATCTACTCTAAAAATTCCAGTCTTAAGAATTTTTGACTAACTAACAAATAATTTATGGGTATGCACCAACGTTCTCTGAAAAATTTCCATCAATACAGAGCAAAAAGTGAAACTCCCTTTACCCTCTACCCCTAAGATAACAGTTCATATCCTTTGAGATGCTTATCTACAATTTATATACACACTTATATAAGTATCTTAGGTTTTTATAGTGACATAAATGAATGAAATTATACCTATCTATCAAAGGTAGAAAGTTGTTGTTGTTGTTGTTGTTGTTTTTAATTCATGATTCATTAGGAAACATTCTGGTATTAGTCTACGGAAACAAATGTGCAAAAATGGTTAATTCTTGGTAGTGCTAACATGTGTGATTGTTATTTTCTTCTTTATAGTCTCTGTATTTTTCCAATTTTAAAAAATACAAGAATAGTCCGTATCATTACTTTTCATAGCTGTACTGTCAGAAAGCCTCCTATGTAAAGCTGGCTCTGGTTAAACTGACAAAGTGAGTTAGTTTGTCTTGTTGTTGTTGTTGTTATGTGCCGTCGAGTCAAACCCAACTCAGCGACCCCTCCTTGGGTTTCCGAGGCAGTATCACTACAGAATTAGGATTGCCCAACCTTCCTTCCGAGGAGTGGCTGGTGGGTTTGAACCGCCAGCCATCTGGTTAGCAGGCAAGTGTCTTAGCCACTATGCTACCAG